ACTAGTTGTGACAAGTGCTTCGTTTGTTATTTTTCCAATGTTACTTAAGGCAAACTTTGTGTAACAGTTGATCGACTTTACCTCAACATTTACAGTAAAAAAAACCAATTGATGATATAAAAAATCTTGAGTTACTGTATAATTAATCCAAATTGACAAATAATTAATTCTAAAAAGATATCTAAAAAAAAATCAATGATTTATTAACAATATTCTTTAACATTATTCTTTTTTTGTTTTGAGAATCCTCCCGCCAGAAACAAAAAAACAAAAACTCTTGATTAGTAAAAAAAACAAAAAAAAAAGAAAAAAAAAATATTAAAAATTGAAAATGCAAAATTTTTTTTAATATCCAGCTATTATTAACAAGTCCTAATGTTCCGCCTTTGAAAAGGGTTTTTTTTGATTTTACGTAAAAGATTTTTAAAAAGAAAAGAAAAAAAAAAGTTTGATATATAAATTGAATTAAAAGTCTATAAATTCAAGATATACAAAAAAAAAATTTTCCAATTTTCCATCTGACATGCTGAAACCAGTTCAGGTAAAAAAAAAATCTATATTACACAATGTCAGATCACAACATATAACCAAAGAATATTCAACAAGAAAAGAATATACACCACGAAAATGCGCAAAGAGTATGCACAAAGAAAGAATATATAAATCAAAATGAAAAGACAAATAAATCTTAAGAAGAAGATAAATTTTTTCTTTTCTTGAGTTGTTCAATATCATTATCTTCTAAACCACGTTTTTTTTGACATTCAATATCATTATCTTCTAAACCACGTTTTTTTTGACATTCAATACCGCCGTTATTAATAGGATTAGCATCAACACAATGATTACAAGAATCAGGAATTTGAAGATTCAAGCCATCACCTAAATTAACATCTAAATCATCATCTTCATCTAAATCATCATCACTCATTGGTATATTAATTCCACCATTATATCTACCAGGAATTTGAAACAATTCGACCGGAAAATCGAGATTTGTAGAAGCACCATGTAAGGTTATTAATTCGGGAGCCTTCATATAAGTACTGTTAACTTTGCTACAATATTTATACATTTCGATTTCTAAATCATGAATTGGATATTTTTGAGCTAGATTTTCAAAATGTTGATCGAGTTTTCCTTTGACATTTAGAAACTAACAATTGTTAAAATTTTGATACAATAAAATGTGATATAAAATATGATATAGTAAAATAAAAATAATTAATTAATAAAGTTAACATTGAACATAAACAAATATATATTTTTTTTTTTTGAAAAACGAAACAAACCTCTTCCATTCTAGCTTTTTTCTTTTGACGAAATTCATCCAAATAAGGAGTACGTTGCCATAGCAAGTAATCATCAGCACGAGTCGCAGCAAAATGAGAATCCTCATCATCATCACTTTCCGAGTTATCAGAATGATAATCTGATGGATCAATATCACCATATGAAAATATCTCTAATAAAGTATCAATCGAGCTATACGAATCACAAAGATAACATTCGATTGCGGCCTTTAAAAATGAAAAAAAGAACAAAAAAGATTAACAATATTATATACATAAATATAAAAATAAAATATAAAAAATAAAAATAAAAATACAAAATATATATATAAATATAATTTATTTTATTTAAAAGTATTTAATAAAATACCTGAGTAAGCAAATCCAATAATAAATCATACCAGAGTGGCTTAACCAAAGAGGAATCATTATGATCAAAGTCCAATTGATCATTAGCTATTCTATAGGTAATAGCACTAGTATTTATGAAAATAGGGATAGCATCGATCAATCCCGGAGCCATTTTACGAGATGGGATAGGTTTTGGAGAAGTAGTTTTTTTACGAGGCAATTGAGGTATAGTAATAGTAGAATTATCAGAATATTGTAAACAAGAGTTACAAATGCTTAACCTATGCCTTCGACAACGGGATGATAAAGGATTTTTAAAATGTTTTTCATATTTTAAAAGATTTGCAGGTAATTTATAAGCACGTTGTTTTTGAGAAGGTTGAGTAGAAGAAATTAATGAAGATGGAGAAGTAGGGAAAGTGAATTGAG